AGGGAGAAAGATAACTCAGATCATTAACTGTTTGTAATCTCCTACACTAATCAATAGGCATCATTCTCCCAACAAATATTTACACTTCTTTCATCTACACTTGAAAGATATGCTAAAATAAGTATCAGTCATAGTGTTTTATAAATGCTTTAACAGGAAACAACAATACAGTGTATTAACTGTTAGCAATAGCTGGGCCTCAGATAAACCTCATAGACTACGATAATACAATTAAGACTGTATCTCTACATAAATGCAAAGAGTGATGATTGTTTAGGACTATTTTGAAATCTCCCAATGAGTTGGAAAACACAATCTAAGAAACAAAGCAGGAAAGAGTTCCTTGACCACATCAAACATTTGGCTGGCTTAATAGTTTTGTTTTTAGACTAGAGGCAGGGTCTCACTTTGTTGCCCAGGCTGGTCTCAAACCCTAGCCTCGAGTGATTCTTCCACTTTAGTGTCCCAAAGTGCTGGGATTATAGGAAAGACTGTATAATTCTCTACTTGTTGAATTCCCTGGATAAGGAAATAATCAAAGCTTTATGAAGTACTCATTATAAAGAACTGTTTCAATGTTCTAGAGTTTTTTACATTTTTCTGTGCACAGACACAAGAGTCCTGGGTCTACTGTACCAATTTGAGGGGGAGGAACTTGTAATTTAAGTACAGACCCTTCAGACCCTTTCTACGGGGAGCATGGGTTGGGACATGGAGAAAGGTGTTCTGATGGGACACTTTAATATTCACCATTATCTTCTTTCAAGTGGCCTACATATAACTTGAAGGGGACCATTTATAAGATTAGCAGCATGGAAGACCATTTTAATGCCTTAATCTAGCATCTTTCATTTTACTTTGTTAAGCTAGGTAAAGGGTGTTATTATTTTTTTTTTATTAAGACAAGGTCTCGCTCCCATCACCCAGACTGGAGTGTAGTAGCATGATCATGGTTCGCTGCAGCCTTGACTTCCTAGGTTCAGGTGATTCTCCCACCTCTGTCGCTCCAGTAGCTGGGACTACAGGCACACACCACCACACCAGCCTAATTTTTGTATTTTTTGGAGAGATGGGGTTTCACCAGGTTGCCCAGGCTGGTCCTCAAATTCCTGAGTTTAACAATCTGTCTTCTTCAGTCTCCTGAAGTGCTGAGATTACAGGTGTAAGCCACTACACTCAGCCAAAAATGTAGTATTTTAATGATAAAATATTCAGCAAAAAAGTAAACAAATTAAGATGATGGCAGAGAAAAAGCAACATGTATTTTATGACTATTTCAATGGAGCAAAAAATTTAAACAGATTATGAAATCAGGAACTATAATTTTTTTTTTTTAACTTTTAATCTAAACCCAAATTTAGGATATGGTTTCATAGTAGGTGGGAGGGATATGCCACCAAGGAAGTATAAGTTCCCTCTCTGGTAGGAAGTTCAACAGTGTGGGTAGTCTTCTTTCTTAAGCTAGATGGTGGGTACGTGGATATTCACTGTATTGTTCTCTTACACTATTCTGTGTATCTTAAATATTGCATTTTTTAAAAGACAAAAACCTGAAAAACTAAGTATAATATTCATAGCTTCAACTGGCCCCACACACTGGCAAACACTGGACCATTTACTTCTAGTACACTTTATCAATGGTGAAGACAGAAATCACTTTCATCACAGTGATTTATGTGTTGGGAAAGACTAAAGGTAGAAATCAACCTCGCTTCCTCTTTGATGGTTCTTATTCTCAAGAAGTCTATCTTAAAAAATTATATGCTATTTCTAATTGCAAATGTTATTTTAGCAGTATGTTATTGGCATAACAGCAACATACCACCAAAGTGTCACAAGTATAACTCTCCTGCTGAGTGAATTACCTCAATTTCCTGTAACTGCTCCTGATTGGTTGTATACATCTGCTGAAGAGAGTCCTCCAACTCTGTGTTCCGATCCAGTAATGTCTTCCCAAGCTCAGCAGCAAGTTGGAGATCTAGCACAAAAAATGAATCTTAGAATAATACAAATGATCTCACATCAACAATTTATATTACCCAGTCCTTCAAAAAAGAACATGCAGTTTAAGTCACATCCCAATCGAAGGTGGAGTGGCACAGAAGGAAAACCTGAGTTCTACTTAAAATTCAGTTAAACTGAGTCTTCCAGCAGGTCAAGTATTCTCTTATGTACTCCTACGTGTAAGAAGTGAAAAAAGGTCATCTACTTTATGGAGATTTAGTCATTAGTTCAGGAATGATCATTCTGCAGTGTTACTTCTAAAATCCTATTTGCTAGTAGAATGAATGTTTTCATATCTTGACAGTCTACTTTTTTAAATGGATCCCTGAGCCAAAGTATAGGTGAAGCTTTCAAAAATCTTTAAAGTTCCCATGAATCTGGCTGCTGTGAATACACCTGTTAGTTTATTGCCATATATCCTGGACTCCTAAGGGGACTAAAAATTATTATATCAAGAAGCGGAAAAATACATCAGCATTAAGAGCACTGCCCCAGGTCATTCTTTCTACTTCTCTTTATGTCCTTCTGCAAGATAAGCAACCAGAAAATAGCAATGTGGTTTTCGAGGTAACTATATGTCGGTAGCTCATACTTCCATTTAGCACAGAACCATATTTTATTTTAAACCTGCTTTTTTCAACTCTTTCTATTCTTAGGCATAATGTCCATAAAACAGGATTTGTTTATATTATACTTACTCCCAGAAATGAAAATTTAGTTAACAATACAAGAAAGGATACTAGTTGTAACATAGGTCATTGAAATACTTCTTTGTACAGTAAATCTTACGGAGCAGTCCTTTGATACAGTGGGAAATGCACTGCACTCTGGGCAGGAAGGTCTCAGGCCCAGTTCTATCATTTATCAGAGCACTTTCAATATGGTGACTTCAGGGGCCCCTATAGTTAGTATTCTGGTTTAGAGAGATGGCTGTCTTATCAAGATAAGATTGTGACAATCAAATGAAGTAATAAAGGAGTACTTTACAAATTAAGTTGCGATACACACGCAAAGTACTACTAATATTCATTGACTCACAAATCAATGTTTTTGTCGCCAGGTACTATACTATACTAAGCATGCTTTAGCTACAGAATAGTGAATAGAATGATGTCCTGCTTTGCTGATATTTCCAGATTAGTGGAGGAAGCCAGATACCAAATGAGCAACTAAACTTACAAACCTATAAACACTATTCATGCATGCATGCATATACTCAATAATAGCAGACACTATTCCAGGCACTGGGATGGTGCCCAGGAGCCATAAGGAACTCACATTAAAAAAAAATCCCCACCCTCATGAAAACTTATATTCTACCGGGAGAAACAGCATTATAAAACATGACAGCGAGAAGAGGTACAGGAGTACGGATGTGGGAAGCTGAAATTTAAGAGCATGTGACCAAGGCCACATTTGAATCAAGATGTGAAGGAACGAAATCAGTGAACTATATAGATCCATCTAGGGAAAGAGCACTCCAGGCAGAGGCAAGGCAAGTGCAAAGCCCCTGGGAGGAAGCATGATTGAGCCATTAAGGAGGCCAAGGAGGGTGGGACAGAATCTTTTGGGCTGGGGGAATGAGTCAAACCAGAGGGGCTCCAAGATGGCCAGTTTGATAAGGGCCTAACTAAAGAAGTCAAGAGTTTGACTTTTACCCCCAACGCAAAGGAATCCAGTGGAGGCTTGACAGGATCACTCTGTCTACGATGTAAACACAGTGAATGGGACAAAGGTGGGAGCAGAGTGACAGAAAGATACTGCAATTACTTGGGTGAGAGATGATGGTGGCTTGGACCAGGATGGCAGAGATAAAGATGGAGAGAAGGGGCAGAATTCTGACATGTTTTGAAAGTAAAGCTAAAATCTGTTGACCAACATGAAGTCTAAAAGATAAAGGGGGGGAAAAACCTGGATTTGGTGATAATGAACAAAAGGCTTTCTTTTTCTGTCTCTTTATTAGACACGGTCTCACTCTGTTGCCAGGCTGGAGTGCAATGGTGTGATCATGGCTCACCACAGTCTTGGACTCCTGGGCTCAAGTCATCTTCCTGCCTCACCCTTCTAAGTAGCTGAGACTACAGGCATGTACCACCAAACTCAGCTTACTTTTGCATTGATTTATTGTAGAGACAGGGTCTTACAATGCTGCCCAGCATGGTCTCAAACCTCTGGCCTCAACAGATCCTCCCACCTCAACCTCCCAAAATGTTAGGATTACAAGCATAAACCACTGTGCCAAGCCTAGGGCCCAATTTAGAAAGGGAGGTCAGGGAAGATCTTTTAGCTGAAGCTTGAAGGATGAAGAACTTGCCATGAATTTGGCATATTCTCCAACCTAACAAGCAGCCAGTACGATAGAAGCATGAGGGATCAGATCATACAGGATTTTATAGCCCATGGCAGGTACAGTTTAAATTTTATTCTAAGTATGATGGAAAGTAATCTCAGTTAATGTAATAAAAGTATTATGAAAAAAAATATTTATCATAAAAATAAGGAAGCTCACTATATAATGATTTTTAAACTTAATTTTTGAAGGATGATAAATAAGGCTTAATGGCTACCCACCACTACTGATAGTAAAACTTAACCTAGAGTAAATGGTAACAACAGCATTAGCTGTTGTTATTTGGTAATGCCCACTAAAGTGCATAATTAGGATTCTACTTGGGTAGTTTTCACTCTGGAGAAAGCAGCAAAACTTATCACACCCAACTCCAGATTATTTAAAACATTTTACATCCATTTCAATAAAACAGTATACTGTTGGTAGATGGGTGCTAAAATATACTCTCATGTGATTTCAATATTAACAGTATCTATTACTGTCATTACATTAAGACTTTAGAGGCCAGGTACAGTGGGTCATGCCAGCAATCCCAGCACTTTGGGAGGCTGAGGCAAGTGGACTGCTTGAACTCAGAAGTTCCAGACTAGCCAGGGCAACATGGCGAAATGTCATCTCTACTAAAAATACAGTGAGGCCCTGTTTCAAAAGAAAAAGATTTCTGTTAACAAGTCTATGAAATGACTTGTATTTACAAAACACAGAACTTTTACAAATAGCTCAAGGCATTTAAGAGACGTTAGTCTGGCGCCTGCGCTCGGCTCCATCTGGTGCGGCTGTGGCCGGGAGGCGACTGGAGTATGTCGGCCCCGTTTGAGGAGCGGAGTGGGGTGGTTCTATGCAGGACCCCGTGGGGCCAGTGGTACCAGACCCTGGAGGAGGTGTTTATTGAAGTTCAGGTGCCGCCAGGCATGCGCGCCCAGGATATCCAGTGCGGCCTGCAAAGCCGGCATGTGGCGCTGGCGGTGGGCGGCCGCAAGATCCTCAAGGGCAAACTCTTTGATTCTATAATAGCTGATGAGGGAACACGGACTTTGGGTAAGGATGGAAAAATGGTTCGTATTGTTCTTACCAAGACAAAGAGAGATACAGCAAATTGTTGGACTTCTCTACTAGAATCTGAATATGCAGTTGATCCTTGGGTACAAGACCAAATGCAGAGAAAGCTTACATTGGAGAGATTCCAAAAAGAAAATCCTGGTTTTGACTTCAGTGGAGCAGGAATCTCAGGAAACTACACTAAAGGTGGACCAGATTTCTCAAACCTTGAGAAATAACTGCTTTTTCTCCTGCGTTCTGTGGATGCTAGCAGATATTGCCAACTTAATCAGAGGAACACATTATGTGATGGAAGAAAAATGGGGATGCCTACAGTTAACAAATTACAAAATATATTTTAAAATGGTTCTAAAAATTGCATTGAAACATGATTTATGTAGGAAACATACTATGCGAACTATTCTATGGATATATGGTAAAGTTTTTTTGGACTTGTTTTTGCTCAGCATGAAGTTTTATACGTTGCATTTTACTAATTCCATATTTAACCATATTTTTAATACAAAAGAACACTGGAACATAGATCATGTGAAATGAAGGATGCCTTCAGGGAAAATTAACTTTTTGATAAATACAATATTCAATAAAGTTTTCTAACTAGGAAAAAAAAAAAAGAGACGTTAGTCTTTTTCTTAACCATTTTTACTTTTTTGGTGTGTGACGAGTCTCACTCTTGTCTCTCAGGCTGGAGTGCAGTGGCATGATTTTGGCTCACTGCAACCTCCGCCTCCCAGATTCAAGTGATTCTCCTGCCTCAGCCACTCAAGTAGCTGGGATTATAGACGCCCACTACCATACCTGGCTAATTTTTGTATTTTTAGTAGAGATGGGGTTTCACTATGTTGGCCAGGCTTGTCTCGAACTCCTGACCTCAAGTGATCTGTCTGCCATAGCCTCCCAAAGTGTTGGGATAACAGGTGTGAGCCACTGCACCCAACCTACTTTTTGTTTTCTAGAGACATTAGTCTTTATATCTTTAAAGGTATTTAGTCCAGTTTCTCAGATGAGACAACCTGAACCACAAAGCTATTAACTGACCAGATTGATCTCCAAGGTGAGTCACAGATCAGACAGAAACTCTTAGGTCAACAGTTTCTCACTCTCACCATGATTCTTGTTATTCTCATCTGCAAAGTTTTAAGGCAATTGAAAAAGAGGTCCACAGGTTTCTTTGAGAATACAAATTTTCCCCTAGTTGAGGTACTTAATTTCTTCTACTTGTTTTCACAGATTGCAATGAGAAACTAGAGTTCAACTATTTGGGTTTTTATTGCCTGCTTTGCAAGTGAAAGCACATACAACCCCAGGCAAGTTATTATCTTGTTTTCACCAAATAAGGAATTATGTATGGCTGAACGTGTTCCAGCAAAAAATTATTTTGCACTCACAGGGTGTGTAATTGTATATACGTACATAGACCCACATGGAAGCTACCACACTGTATTAAGTATAAAAACATTACTGGCTGGGCATGGTGGCTCACATCTGTAATCCCAGCACTTTGGGAGGCTGAGGCGGGAGGGTCATGAGGTCAGGAGACCGAGACCATCCTGGCTAACACGGTGAAACCCTGTCTCTACTAAAAATACAAAAAATTAGTCGGTCATGGTAGCACGTGCCTGTAGTCCCAGTTACTCAGGAGGATGAGGCAGGAGAATCGCTTGAACCCTAGAGATGGAGGTTGCAGTGAGCCAAGATTGTGCCACTGCACTCCAGCCTGGGCAAAGAGTGAGTCTCTTATCTCCAAAAAAAAAAAAAAAAAAAAATCACCTAGGTATTACTTAAGTCTTTCCTTCTTAAAAGTGTAAAGTGGTGAGTATTCTTCACTGGGAAGGATCACATTCACCAAAGATGCTCTTAACTGGCAATCAAAATCTGAGCCAAGGGCTGGGTGTGGTGGTTCACACCTGTAATCTCAGCACTTTGGGATGCTGAGGCGGGAGGATTGTTTGAGCCCAAGAGTCCAAGACCAACATGGACAACATAGCAGGACCTCGTCTCTTATAAGAAGAAAACAAAACAAAATCTGAGCCAAAAACTCTCCCAAAATCAAGACTCACTTGTGACTATCACCAATCTCTTTCATTCAGTTATGGAACTATCTGTGCTACTTAAGAGCAGCCAGGAACCTCTTCCTTGCTCCTGCAGAAAGAGATGTCAAGAACAGCACCAGAATTTGAGACTTGTCCTTATCTCAATCCTTATTTTCAGTAAAACAAAGCACCAACCTGGTTCAGAAACCTGAAGTCTCAATCTCCTAAATATTTCATAGGCTGGTAAGGATAGAATTTTAACAAGTCTCAACTACAAGAAAGCTCCTGTGAAGTCACACTATATAAGAGGATATTACTTCATCTGTTAGCTTAAAGACACCAGACTTTTTTTGGTCTTTAAAAAAAGTTCATTTCCTGTTGAGTAGCAGCTGGCTTCCATAACTGAAAGAAGCCAAAAGCTGGCAGCAAGCCCAAGAAGGTTTTCTAAATAATTAGTGGAGGGAACAGAATATTGAATGTCCTTTATAGTTTTAATTAAGACACAAAAGAAAAGGAAATAATATAGTTTCGAAGCCTTGTACACCTGTTCATCTCTATAGGATTACAAAAAGAATTTTCATTAAGAGGGTCTTTTCTAAATCCTATTGAACTGGCCTGGCTTAGGCAACTACTAAAAATACCATAGATTTATTGCAGGCTTCAGAATTGCAACCTATCAATACCTTCATATATTTAATATTCTCTCACTAATGAGTCTTTGTAGGAAATAATACATTTTTAATGGTGTAAACTGTTAGTTTTAAACAGATATTCATTCAGCTCTATGTTTTAGGCAAAAAATGAGCACTGGTAGCCAAGTAATTTTTTTTAAAGAAACTTTCTTCCAGAATTTTGAAACTTTTAAATCCCACTGTGATTAAATTTTTCCCATTTTAGTTTCTTAAAAAAAAAAACAAAAACAACATATTCTCATGATAGCTGGTAGTCTGCTGAGTAATTTAACAACATTAAGGCTAAAAGCTTTTCCTATTACAAAGTCAAATGCGTCATTTAGTGATGCTTCTGTTTAACTCCTGTTGCCAACGTTACTATAATCGGGAAAGCAGAAAACCTGAATATAAACATCAAGAAAAATGATGGTGTCAGTTTTAATAACCCTCCAAACAGTGATTCAGCAAAATAGTTGTACACAAGGAGGATGTACTCATCCTGAAATTTTTGGATTCCTTTAAACTAAGAGTTCATTAACTGATCCACATAACAGAAACCTGACTCCTTTTTCTAAGTTTGTACAGCTCACCAAATGACAATTATAATAGCAGCTGATTTAAAAGAAAATTCAATCTCTGAAGTCTTTCCACCTTGTTCTCAGGGGCATGTTTCAAAGCAAGCACCATCATTACCTGCACTGAAGGCTCCTGCTGTCCCAGAAAAGATCTTACCCACAGAGATTATTGTCAGTATTCCTACCGTGCCAACTCAGCCTCTGACAAAAGACAGTCTCTTCATCAAAGTGTTCTGTAACAGCAAAGCGTTTTCTCCTCCTGCCTACACAAAAGCTTTACATGTTTCTAACAAGGTATGAATAGCAGACCAGAGTTTACTGAGGTTAGAATGTTCCAGCAATTTCAATTTAAAAAAGAATACCCTAGGAAACTTTGATATAAAGACTCGATCTATTAAGATCATGGCTTCTACTGCTAAAGGAAAACATTTTGTAGTTGTAAGGTTTTGAGAACAGGATCATAAAAAGTCTTTCTGGCTGGCCCGAGGCTCACACCTGAAATCCCAGCACTTTGGAGGCGGAGGTGGGTGGTTCACAAGATCAGCAGATCAAGACCATCTTGAGCAACATGGTGAAACTACATCTCTACTAAAAATGCAAAAATTAGCTGCGTGTGGTGGTATGCCCCTGTAATCCCAGCTACTCGGGAGGCTGAGGCAGGATAATCGCTTGAAGCTGGGAGGCGGAGGTTGCAGTGAGCCGAGAGCACACCACTGCACTCCAGCCCGGGGACAGAACGAGACTCCGTCTCAAAAAAAAAAAAAAAAGTTATTTTCAGCAGTTCTCTCCAACTAAGCCTTGCTCAGTAATAATGAGGAGGTTAAAAAACTGCAGACAGATGCCTGCACGTAAAATCCCACTAGATCTGCTGAATACTTCTGTTTAACAGGGCAGACCTGCTCCCAAACTTAATTCAGCAGCAAGTGTCTACTGAGGACCTACAATGTGCCAGGCACTGTAGTGAGCACATCCCATGAGGTGGCACCTCCAGGCTTCTCCAGTGAACAGATTTACTGGAACATTCACTCTATGGGAGTAGGAGTCCTGCCTATCCTCTCGTGTGGGGAGGCGCTATGGCCCCACTGCCTAGGTGAATTCCTGGTATAGAGCAGATAATACATTTTTAAGAAATGAATGTTTTAAAATCTGTTAAAAGCTTAGGAGTTAACATATAATTTAGTAAAACTGGGGAAAGGATACCCTTTTATTCACATTATAGCCTTTATTTTTTGACAGGCCATATTCACAAGTTATAATTGTTGGAATTTCACATCCTCTATTCATACCCCATATAGTTACGACAGAGGATTATGTCAAAGTCCACTGTGATAACGTAACAGCCCTTTGAAAAACACAGAAATGCAACTGACAGTAAAGAGGTTCAGACCTGTGTGTTGCTTTTTTTGAGATATAATTTCATTCTTCTTGTCCAGGCTGGAGTGCAATGGTGCCATCTCGGCTCACTGCAACCTCTGCCTCCCAGGTTCAAACGATTCTCCTGCCTCAGCCTCCAGAGTAGCTAGGACTGCAGGCGCCCGCCACCACGCCCAGCTAATTTTGTATTTTTAGTAGAGACAGAGTTTCACCATGTTGGCCAGGCTGGTCTTGAACTCCCAACCTCAGGTGATCCGCCTGCCTCTGCCTCCCAAAGTGCTGAGATTACAGATTTGAGCCACTCTACCCAGCCCAGACCTGTGTTTTTAAGGTTAAACTTGAAAAGCTAATGACTTTATTTTGATCAGAGGTTAAAGAGAATTCCACCTGTAACCCTGACACGTTGCACTTGCTTCTCAACAGATTGAAGTGTTACAGGTGGTTGTTCCTAACAACCTCCCACAGCGGGAGAATGCAGCGTGGACTAAGGCACCTGATGGAAGACAGCCATGGAAAACAATTTTGTGAGTGCTTCAGTTTAGTTCAACAAATATTAAAATCGAGCTTCCAGTATGTACCAAGTATTATGCTAGATGCTGGAAATACCTGAAAAAGGAACCTACCCCGTCTATTCCCTTAAAGATTTATGCTTCTTAAATACAGGAAAGAAAAATATTTAGTTGTGATGATACAAATTGCTTAAATTACAGGGAAATATTGCAATGGCACAATGGTTGCCTCATAAATCCTGGAGAAACTATCAAACTAGGCCATCAATCCTTATGGGGAAATCTGAAAACTCGTTAAAATGTATGACAAATTTGTCTTTTGGACATAAAGAAGATGGTGCCGAACACTGCACTGCAACCACTAAGTAGCTTGGGCTCTATAAGCGTAATAAGGTGAATTACTTCGGTTAAAGTGATTGCATGTTAATTTAAGAAATTATCTTCCTCCAAAAGAGGTGCTTATTATCCTTTTCTGAGTTAGTCAAGTCTAG